GTATTTTTACAGTCTTTATTTTACAATTAAAATATATGTTTATCAAATAAAGTATAATGTTACATCTAATCATGGATCCCTTTAAAGTTGCTTATGTGTGGCGGCCATCTTGATTGGAATTAACTCCAAGAGATACATATGTGCGTTCACTATTTATAATATGGAAATTTCATAAAATTGCTTGTTCATGGATATTTTGCTAACGCTACAGACAAACAACCACACGCAGGCCTWTCGCTTTGGGCGGCGGGTGATTAAAAGAAAGATGATGTGGAGTTCAGCGAGGGCGACATGTTAAATCAATTAATTTCCCACAGCCTCAGTGTGTTATTATCATAAGTACGTTTTACTCTGACAAGTGATTTATGAAAGAGCTGAGCACATCCTGCACTGACCTAAAGGCACCGCTCGCATGAATATTTATAAAGCCACTAGCATATCAAAAACAAATTACTATAAAGTGCTGACCAGGCAGACTTCCAGTGCTTTCACACTAATATACATCAGTTGGCCGTTTTTCCTCTTCGATTTCGACTGAGACGCATTTGTATCTGCCGTCAAACAGGCGGCAAATCTGCCTCAGACGTTTTACCCAAAGCTTCTTATCACCATTTATTTTTTCTTTACTTGTACTAGTTGAAATGTTCACATGTGGATGCGTTTGTTGATATCCATTTAACAATATATGATATTGTGACCAATGACATGATATCCGTCTAACAATATATGATATTGTGACCAATGACATGATATCCGTCTAACAATATATGATATTGTGACCAATGACATGATATTCGTCTAACAATATATGATATTGTGACCAATGACATGATATTCGTCTAACAATAAAAAACACAAGTGATGTGACTCAGTCCAATAAACTTCTGGGTTTATTTTCATGCGTTTTGATAAATTTCCATCAGGGCTTTCTTTTGTTTTTTTAGTGGATCCCTCCTGGGTTTTCTTCCATGGAGCCCATTATGATTCAAATAGTGACAAATGGTGTGATTAGAAAGCAATGTACTCAGACTTTTGACTTCAGCTTAAAGGGGTTTGGATGRTTTCCTTGGCTCTTTTTGTACCGCTTGCACTAACTGTCTAATCGATGTGGGGTTGCATGTTATCTTGCGTCCACATCCTAAGAAGTTGGCTACATCCAACAAAGCTACAGTCAGAGGAACGTAATGATTTTTTTCTGAGATGTAAATGTTATTTACGTCTGTAGACACTTAAAACGGCTTCTGACTCTCCACTTYTGCAGGACAGACACAGCGAACGACACAAAGAGTCCCGTTTACACCTCCGGCCGCCCAGCCACTCTGCCCAGTACGCCACCGTGTCCGCCTGGCACCACCAGCCCGAGAAACTCATCCTGGACTCCTGCAGGTACGAGGCAACAGTAAGTATCCTTTACTGTCTTCTGCACATGAGTCAAATATAATCTCTGTTTAAATCTAATGCCAACATTTATAAATTATGATTTTACATTSTGAGTTTTTACATTTTCTCTTCCAGTACCTAGGGTCAATGATAATCAGGGATCTACGGGGGATTGAATCCACACAAGATGCCTGYGCTAAAATTAGGGTACGTGCCTAACTTTAAATATTGCCATACTCTTTTACAGTTTGAACATTGAACTGTCCATTCATTCAATATTTTCCACCAGTTTTTGTTTTTCTTTTGTATGTACATATTTTTGATATTCAC